AGTAGTATTCCATTGTGTATATGTACCACATCTTTATCCATTCATCTGTCGATGGACATTTAGGTTGTTTCCAGGTCCTGGCTATTGTGAATAGTGCTGCTATGACCATAGGGGTGCGAGTATCTTTTTGAATTATAGTTTTGTCTGGATATATGCCCAGGGGTGGGATTGTTTGATCCTATGGCAACTGTGTTTTTAGTTTAGTTTTTTTTTTTTTTTTGCGGTACGCGGGCCTCTCACTGTCGTGGCCTCTCCCGTTGCGGAGCACAGGCTCCGGACGCGCAGGCTCAGCAGCCATGGCTCATGGGCCCAGCCACTCCGCAGCATGTGGGATCTTCCCGGACCGGGGCACGAACCCGTGTCCCCCACATCGGCAGGCAGACTCTCTACCACTGCGCCCCCAGGGAAACCCTGTTTTTAGTTTTTTGAGAAACCTCCATACTGTTCTCCATAGTGACTACACCAGCTTACATTCCCACCAACAGTGTAGGAGGGCTTCCTGTTCTCCACACCCTCTCCAGTATTTGTTATTTGTAGACTTTTTAATGATGGCCATTCTGACCGGCATGAGGTGGCATCTCAGTGTAGTTTTGATTTGCATGAAATCATTTTAGATCACTGAATTCTGTTTACTGAGGGAGGGCCATCGGGTTAGATACAGTTTTTAGTTACTCTCTCCTTCCTACACACCGATCAACCAAGATGATCCCAGCAGAAGGGAGATGATGGGCAGACCCTTGCTTGTCGATCAAAACTAGTTTGCTTGGGCTTCCCTGTTGGCACAGTGGTTGAGAGTCCGCCTGCCGATGCATGGGACACGGGTTCGTGCCCCGGTCCAGGAAGATTCCACATGCCGCGGATTGGTTAGGCCTGTGAGCCATGGCCGCTGAGCCTGCGCGTCCAGAGCCTGTTGCTCCACAACGGGAGAGGCCACGACAGTGAGAGGCCCGCATACCGCAAAAAAAAAAAAAAAACTAAACTAAAAACACAGTTGCCATAG